CTGACTTATAGTAGCCACCCCCAGGATTGGTCATTTGGTCATTCGGTCAAGGATCGTAAAATAAAAACGCCAAGATTCGCTTCCATTAATTTATTAATCAAAATTATACATTTTTACAATAAATTAGATTTAGGGAAATTGATTTCAATAGCAGTCCGTCACTCAGTGTTACGTACAGTCGCATGTACTTGGAACTTGACGTACCTGTTGCGTAGCTCAAGGAACGTATCTGAAGAAGTTTGAAACGTTCTTTCTTTGCCATTCGCAAAAGCTCGTCACTCTTTCCGCGACAGGGAGCACAAAGATCTTTCTGGCACGGGAGAAAAAGTGTCTGGCATTTAAAACGGCTCGGAGCAGGTCCGACCGATCCACGTCCGCTCGGCTTCCCAAAGGCTCGTCTCTTTGAACGTATCATCCTCTCTTGTCATTCCCGCTTCCACTCGCGCGGCACGTAAATTCTTTGATACCACGTTCGTTCCTTTTACTGAAATCGTTACTTCCCGTTACGATATTTGCCTCCGCTTTTCAAGTCCCTGAAATCATCCTTTGGAATCCAGAGAAAAGACCGAGTCGAGTAAGCAAGAATTTCGTAAATTGATTTTTCATTAATACAGAATTTCGTTCTTTCCTCAATAAAAGCGAAACTTCGATTCATGGCTAGTAAAGTAAAATTTCCAAATCGTCAGGATGCGTACGAATGTTCCATCGGTTCTGGCGAAACTCCCACGTAATCCTGTGAGTCCCCCATTAATTTTCGAATCGTTAAATCTTTGGGAGCAACGCGAATCTCCAACGTTAAATGCATATTCAATATAGACGATATTTGCGAATCACGCGAACTGTGCATTTATCTTTGTTACGTGTTATACACATACAATGCGAATGGAATGTGCAATGAAATATAGCAACCGAACCTTTTAACGTTATTAAATATCAGATGATATACAATGCGAAACGTGCGTATTTGCCTGACGATTGATAGGAGAATATTAATACGAGCAAATGGACGTTCGTATTAAATACTTAATTAATAATAGGAAATGCATTGATAGAATTTAATGTAATGAAAGGGCAACGATCCGTCGATTTGACGGGCGGATGCACTCCGGATAGAAAGCTGGCTTCGCTGTTTGATGTCGCGTCGCGGAAAATTGGAAATATCTGCAAAACGGTCTGTTGTCCTGCGATTTCACGCGAATTTCTAATCGACTTCGTGGATCCGCTCGATTTGCCTGTGATACGATTCGTCCGGTCGTTGCACTCCAGTCACGACGGCGACGCTCGCTGCGCATCCGGTTTAAATGGATGCGCTCGATTAATTTTCTACGATTATATTATGCCAAGCATATTAATCGACGATTCTTTTTAAGGTCGTATGAACCGTAAGATCTCTGCCAAAAATTTGAGACACGTAATAAAAAACTGTCCAATATTCGAAGCAATGAATTTTTAGAAAAATTGATAATTACGGGGGAGGAAAGTTTATCAAATTGTCATTGTTTTTATGTATCTCATACAACCTTAACGTAACGAAGTATCTTTGATCGATGATTTCAATGATGAAAAATTATTATTTTCATTTTATATCCTCGCCATTATTTGTCGGTATTAGCAAGCCTCTCATTTATGTATGTTTCGTTAAATTATTTTAAGCAATGCAACGAAGCATTAATTAATTACGGATAATTAACAATTAAATAGCATTTCTTATTTTTTATATTTTTTTTCAAGTTTTCGACGTAACTAAATACAAGCGACTGGCACGATATCGGATTATACTACGTGAAACTTGCGGTGAGTTGTTAACCCCGTTAAGAGCAGCCACTATCGTCGAGGGCACTTATCGCGTTCTCGATACCGATTGAGAACCAATAACTTATCGTTGCCGGGCTTGAAACTGCGATTCCCGGTTGCCCGCGATATTACGTGGAATTAATATCCTTCAATTTGTTTCACGCTGCCAATTCCTGTTGGAGTTTTCGTATCGCGTTTAAAAGAAACCAACGAATTACAGTGACGCGTACCGAGATAGCAATTTCAGGAAGTGTTCGTTTAATTTAGGGAAACGTCGAACGTTTCTGATGTTGGTCAAACTTCGATCGCGTTTAAATAGAATGCAAATTGAATACTCTCGTTTCTTTCTTTCTTTCTTTCTTTCTTTTGATACGAAATGCGATACGTTCCTAGTTTCGTAGGAACGTAAGCAAATATTTACATTGCTCCATTTAATTTCGATTCTTGGTCTACCTCCAATTCCGCTGTTTGCACAGGAAATAGCATCCTCTTCAAGACGTCATTTATTTCGGTCGAATAGTTTGCCCGAAATGGAAACCGATGATACATCCTTACTGAGAATATTCTAATATGTATCTTGAAACTCAGTATGTCGAATGACGTGATCGTTGTAGGAACAGCAGTGAATTTTATAAATCTTTGTAAACGAGATTATCCTAAACAGACGTGTCTCAACAACTTTCTCTTATCTATACAAAGATAATGATGATTAATTCATAGCACTCTCTCTTTGGTGCACAAATATGATTTTCAAACCTTCCTTTTCAAATTCATCACCGATTCGATCCGATCGAGTTTAATCAGTTTCACTTTCGCCGCATGCTTTTCCTTTTAACTGAATGAAATGATTCAACCGGATGACCGATTCGAGACGTTCGTCATGGCGACGGTGCATTATCATACTGGTTGCTATCCGGCCGACACCCTCCAGACGAACGATCGATTCCTCTCCGCAATTTAAAGAAAAAAATAAATAAAATTCCGAAGCATCGATTCTTCACTTCGCGTGGGAGTACGTTA